TAAAACGAAGTAGGCTGTTTAAATTTCGAAAAAATATGAAATATTGGCTACTCAAAACAGCGAAATAATTACCGCTAGCGGTGGCAGTAACAGCAGTATGTTGCCAAAACGTGATATTGCAGCCGAAACTGGCTGTTCTGCGGAGCCCACACGTTCTCGGATCACTTGAAACAGTGCGTGCTGCACTCGATCGCGCAAAGCTGCTAACGCTCGTGATGTATCCATCGTCAAACCTGGCACATCTGAAACAAATATGAGCTGATCTGTGAGGTTTTGTAATCTTATCCGCACTGCTACTACAGCAGCGACAGCGACAGCAAGGAGGACTAGCTCAAGTAAGCGGCACACCTAAGCTGATTGTAGCATACAAGTAATATTAAGAACTTAAATAGGGCAGGAATAGAACGAACTATCGCGACCCTAACTGTTAACTTATTAGGTTAGTGTGTGCTCCGTTTGCAGGAGCATTAATCATTATTTGATATATTATACGACAGAACTATGCACTGATTTGAATGTAGAAATATAGTATTGGGCCAATGTGAAGCTACCGTTAGTGGCGAGTGTAAGATTAGCTGAACCAGTATACCTACCCCGTAGCTGTGAAACGTGAAAACGGAATGGTCCAAAAACTAGTAAAGTACGGCAAGCCAGGCCCAACGGGGCTAAACCGCAAACATAGTCTGAAATTCTATTGACCCGGAGTGGTGCTAGATTTATTATGGTGAAGAACTAAAGGAGGGGAATGAAGAACAAGACTACAGGGCTAAGATCATGTACCATGAAACCGTATGTCATGTTAAAAAGCTATGTAGAATGGTAGATGCAGCGAAAAATCTGCCTGTATTTCATCCCTTAGCTGTAAACACAGACAGCGGTCGGGTGCGATGAGGCGAGAATCATCAGTACAGTCCCCAGCCACTACGTTAATAAGTCAGGTGACAAGGTGTTAAAGAGGAAGACGACAGAAATGGGAAGCAGTAAAAAGAGTGAATTAGGCAAACATAGCCAGATTTACACACCTAAGTTAGCTTATCACAATAGCATCAGAACTGACCAACTAAACCATACTTTTCGAAATACTTAAAAAATTTCAACTAATAAAACTTCTCTTATTATTTATATAATCTTTATAGTAAATCCTGAAATATTTTCCTTTTTTTCGAAAAATCTGAGTTTACAAAAAACTTTTACAAAACTTTTGATTATGCATCACCAGCCATTTCTGGCAAAAAATTTCTAAAAACAGAATCCCACAAAAAAATTTTTTGTGTCTAATAACCTAAATATTTTTTTGGGGAGTTTAAAATTAAAGAAGGCCAAACGAACGACCGAACTACTAGCAGGGCAGCCACCGGCCGATGCCGCACTGGTCAAAACAGTTAGAAAAATTGCTGGCTGCACAAATTGAGAAAAATCAGATTTTTATCACTGTTATTAGAATAAGTTGCCGTGTCGAGATAGAGGCCCAGAAAAGAGCCTAAAAAGCACTCGAGCATTTTTAACTTTAAAAAATTACCAGGATCCAATAGAACAAGCGATATCAGTGCAACTATTTCTGTTTCGTTAAGTAGCAGCTTCCGAATTGGCTGTGTGAGCTCATCCAGAATTCGTGCAGCCATGTTGTTCGACAGAAAGCTGCAAAGTGTGGTAATATACAGCTGACCGTCTTTCATTGCTAAAAAATAGGCAGTGTTCAAAAAAATCTTCATTGATACTAGTATATAAGATGTACGCGTTTAAGCATGAAAAATTATGTGTTTCTCCAAGATTAGTGTCCTTGCAAAGTTTCAGCCTTGCAGCTTGTTCGGTAAGCGGAATTGCCACCTCGTTGCAAATATCTTTGAAATGCCCTAAAGTACGGCGCAAGTGTGGTTCGAAACTTGAGTTAGGTATACGATTTTCCAGATGAACGACAAATATTCTGGCAAAATTAGAGCTATTGTTTCTCGGACAGTTTTCGAGCTTGTGCAATGCCAACTTATGAACTATAACGTGACCACATGCACGATGCAAGCGTACGGATTAGCTGAACTGAAATCTCTAGTACATGCATGGGCAGAGGATACTCCTGCAAAGTTCCAGCTTCCTACATTTACCAAAATTGTTTTCCCCCAGAAAATTTACATATTTCTTCAACAAATTCGTGTGCAAAATCTAAGCTCGCATGAGCGATGATTTTAAAACCGAAAAGCGATACACGGGATGAAAATGCGCTCCCAAAATTTTAGCCTCCCAACTTTGCTCATTGCTGAGTTGAAAGTGGGTGACAAAGTTCACTCGTTTTTTTCAAATATTCAGACAGACTCTTGACAATATGCCTTTCGCATTAGCATG